GATTTTCTTATTATTAGCCCTATATTTATCATCAATTTCTCTCCAGTAAAATAGTCTACTAATCTGTGGTGCCAGACTTGCAAAGAAGGTACAAAAATATTTGTCAGAACTATTCTCTTCCATATATATATCCCATTCTATTATAAAAGTGAAATATTATTTACCTCTTAAAAAGTATTTTTTTCTTTTTTGTAACAATGAAAAACTGTCCAAAATATGACACATTCACAAGAAGAGAGTACCTAATATGCAGCCATTTAAATGCATGGCACACGTTCATATGCCAACATCTACTCTCTAAGTCATTTGCTTGAAGTGGCTAAGCATGCACTGAATAGTCCTTACTGCGTAAACCTAAAACTAAATAATCCTGTATGTAGATATATGGGAATATGCAAAACTTGTTTTTCTAGAAACAACTGTTAAGAATCTTAAGAGTGAAACTGGAATGGCAAAAGAATGAAGGTCTTCACTACTTTTTTTATTTCTTTATGTACTATTTGAATTCATCATTATTGCACATTCTATGCTGCTGGATTTATTAAAGGATCATTTTTGGTTTTCTTGATACTTAATTCTAAAAACAACTATATTAAAGAAAGTATCCTTCCCTACATGAAAGGACTAATTCTGTAAAGAACAGGATGTTAGGCCACAAAGGATAAAATGTTAGTAGGTTTCAGTAGGCAAGGAAGTGCTGATGCTGTTCAGGTAACTAGACTACTTGAAGCTCTCCATCTACTTTCACTCCTTAACTGCACCTTGGTGAGAAGCAACTCTGCTTGTTGTGGGGGGAAGAGGTGGTGGCTCAGATGAAAAGATGTTATCAAATAACTGATTTTTTCCAGCAAGATTTTTAAAAATGTAGGGGAGCCAGATACAGTGGCAGACACCTGTAGGCCTAGCTAGTTGGGACTGAAGGAGAAGGTTAATTGAGATCAGGAGTGAGAGATATAGCAAGAAGTCAACTCAAAAAACAAACAAAAGATGTGGAAAAATGGCCAAATTAGTAAATAAGGGTTTTTTTTTAAAGTCAAAGACTCAAAACTAAAAGTTAATCTGTAAACATAAAAAAATAAAGATGGGAGAACCAAAAAGTTGACACAATCACTATAAAGATCAAGGAATATGGCTCAAGAAAAATGCAAGGAAGTATTTTAAATGATTTTATAAATCAACCTCTAACAGGCTCAATGTCACAAAGTTAATTTACACACATACTTAACAGAATTTACTATGTCACATTGGTTTGAGCTTACCTTCTGGTTGTTGTATAGTAATATTCAAAGAGCATGCATAAGATGTGAAAAAGACATGGCTCTATTATTTTAGAAGAGCTACCTTAGAGAAAAGCAGTAGTTACAATTCTAGCTTCTATATGCCCCTAATACTCAATTTTCTTACTTATAAAAATAGGTAGCAAATGAGAGATTAGCAAAAGATTTAAGTATATGTACTGTTCAAAAAGTCATGTTCTCAACCAATAATTTCTTCCCTACTTTTCTCAAAAGTAAACTCATATGTACAAATTCTTAGTCTGATCTTCAACAATTATTCTAGGCTTTGCATTATTATTCTAAGCTAACAACTATAAAACATATTAAAGGTCACGATGTTTCTTATCTTTTTCATGAAGAGATCTTTCAACATGCCCTTTGTTATAGCAACTAGAACCATGCTATATTATTTTTAATAAGTGACTATAATCTATCTTTTTTCTGTAAATTATACTCTCCTTTTTGATAGATTCCTACTCTCCACTTCAAGAAACTTTCCTCTTTTCACTCAAAAGTTATAATTAAGAGATATTGAGATATATATGATATATTAAGAGAGACTGTTTTACTAGCCTTTAAATGATGTCCTATAAATTTCCTCTTCTGCAATAAGCAAATATTTAGTTGATGTTTCTATATGTACAGGCATTCTCAGAGGGAAAGATATACATATGAATGTTAAAATTTAGCTTGCTTAAAAGGAACTCTTTTAGAGCCAGGGAGTTAGCTCAGTGGTGCCACCACCTGCCTCACAAGCACAAGGTCCCGAGTTCAATCCCCCGTACCAAAAAAAATAAATAAAATAAATAAAGGAACTCTTTTACCCTATTGGTGGGAATGTAAATTAGTGACCATGGAAATCAATATGGAGGTTTCTAATAAAACTAAAAATAGAACTACCATTTGATCCAGCTATACCACTCCTTGGTATATACCCAAAGGAATTAAAAGTTAGCATACCATATGAATACCTATATATCCACATTTACTGTTACAATATACAATAGCCTGTGTCCACCAACAAATGACTAAAGAAAGTTTTGTATATATACACAATGAAATATTATTCAGCCAAAAGAATGAAATTTTGTCATGTGCAGAAAAATGGAGGATTCTGGAGACCATAATGTGAGCAAAATAGACACCTAGAGTTCTTTTCAGTCTTAAAGTGGGAAAGTGGGACAAGAACTAAAAAAGACACTACGTGTTAGGCTTCTATTTTTTATCTACCTTTTTTTTTCTTTTTAATTGAGTTTATTGGTACATTCTAGGTATACAGTACAGCTACATTCATTACTGGGATCTTATACCTTTACATGACAGGTCTTGGTTCTCATTTTTTACCCTTGTCCCTGCCCTCCCTTCACTCTCTCCTCCCCTCCCCATTTACAAACACTTTATTTCCATTTTTTCATTTTCTCATATTTTTTTCTTTTCCCTTATTCCCTTTCTTCTATTTTCAGTTTTAAAGAAAAGCTGCATAGTTATAAAATGTGAGGGGTCTGCCATTTAAAAGTGAGTAATAGCTTTAAGTTAACTACTTTCATAATATACAAAAGAATACATGTTTAACAATAAACAGCTTTAACAGATTTATCTTAATCTCTTGTTTTATATTTTTCTTTTTTTAAATCTTTAGCACCAATTTTCCTTAATTCCCACCCAATCACTCTAGGTATTGTAGTTTAACTATTTGCCAGGAGTTATGCTAAATGATTTACATATATTTAATCTTCACAACAACTCCAGAGATGGGAGGTACTTATACTTTAAATTCTTGAGATTGTCTTCATTAAGCACAATTAATTCATCATACTAGATTTTTAACATAAGTACCAGCAAAACCTGAACACAAGAGCAAAGCTACTAAGAGTTAATGTATTATGGAGCTTAATTTATCTGTAGATATGATTCACTTTAGAGAATGTTTTTTAAATACAACTGAGAAGAGAGAATTCCTATGCCTTAAATCAAGATGACTAAGAAATGCTCTCAAATGTCTTCTGCCCTGCCTACTTTTAATTTCATTATTTTTAAGCAATATTTTGCTATAATATGGACATTGCTGCTGAAGAGAGACTGTGTCACTCAGTTTTAGCATCTGATCTACCTAGAACAGTCATGGCTAACACAATGGTGCCACAGTGGGCTGTTTATATTATTGAAAGCTCTAAGTTTCACCATTGCTGACTTATAAGCTTTATTCTTCATTGAAAGTTAATATTGACATCTGGTACTAATTGGTTGGTTATTAAAACCTAACACTTGATCACACCTGACAAAGTCAAGTTTTGGGATCCCCTGAAGCTGAATGCTAGACCTGAGTAGTTACAACCTCACTCTCCTAGGTCTTGCCTGAGGAGCCAGCAAGTTTTCCCTCTTGGCGTCTTTTTGTTCTTTCTTTGTCTTTGCCCTTTGCACTGTCGCAGATATCAACTTTCAGTTTGAGACAAAATTAACAGCCAGTTTATCTTCATAATAAATAAAATTTCTATATAAGCAACAATAAAAACCAATCACTTAACTCCCTTTCTAGTGTTTAAAGACCAATAAAATGTCAAAACACAAATATTTTGGGAAAAGTTAGCTTATGTTTCCTTTGAATTTAACATCATCATCATCATCATCATCATCACATTAATTCTGGCATTGCAGCATGAAAACACTAAAGTATGACAAACAAGTGAGGCATTAAAAAACTGTACAGCCTCCAAAAGATCTGATGCGCTCAACAACTCTCATCAACCAAATTGCTTTCAAGCTTAATAAGCTTATGTTCCACAGCCCAAATTTCAAACACTAACTAAAAGGAAATTCCATCACAAAAATAATTTTCAATTTCTCCTTCACCACATACAACAGGCAAGGTGTGACGTTTGCTTTTGTTTAGGGAATGATAAGAATAGAGGTAGTCAAGAGCACTTCCCGGAGGTTGTAGGACTTAAAATGAGCTTTGGCAAATGGAAAGCAATATCAACACAAAGAAATGTGAAATACACACTCAAAAGTAAATGAGGAGAAAAGAAATAAGCAAGATTCTGTATTTCACTCATTTATTTTAAACTATGATACTAAAATAAAAACACTTTAAAATTCTTTAATTTTTTGTGATTAAATGCTCCACTTTCCCTTTGAAACTTAGCTTGCTTCCTCACATACACATAAAAATAGAACTCATCAACACATAAGCAATATTAAGAACAGGTGAGGAAAAACTAAGTATTGTAAAAGCCAATACAATTTCATTGTTCTTGCTCTCTTTTGACTGCAAACAGTGAATGACCTTGCCCTTTGCAATGTCGAGCAGTGTGGTCTTAAGCTGACTCTTTCTGGTTTTAGATCTGATTATCCTAACCTTTTCCCGGCACATTTATCCAGCTATAGAGAAATGGCTTTTATGTTGACATTTCAAAGGTCACTCTACAGAAACTAATGCTTGATAATGCCAGTCTTTATCATATGTAATTTTCATTTATTCTCATTGTCACCAATTTCAAGACAGGGAATCTGTTGGCTCTTTTCTTTTTTTTTTTTTTTCTTTTTTTTTTTAATTTCTGTCACAATTTGGAGGGCAAGAATTACTCTTAAAACATGATTAATAATAATTTGCACTTGTCATTACAAAGCAAACTAATATCATTTCTTTATTTGATAAAGCACAACTACACCTAGTACTAACTTCAGTTTTGGGAACTTCACTAGGGTAAATCAATTAGCACTTACCATTAATAAGCAGAGAGCTATCGGATCCTGGATATGAATAGTTTAGACGACCTGAAGGTAAAAGAAGGCCGTTACTAAATTTATTTTTTGATAGATGATTTAAAAGTAATTCAATAACAGAGCTGAACTGATTGCTTTTAGTAGACAAAGAATTTTGAGAACTGCATTATGGGACAAAATTTGTGCCATAAAACAATGAATAAAAGGACATATCAATCAGCATGGTCACTAAAATTCAAACAGGGAAAATTTGAGGGTGGCAAAATAAAATATCCTCATATTTAACTACTAGGTCATTCTAGTTTTCTAATCCCCCACAAAATAATTTTCTTTATACCATTATGTTCTAATACCAACTCACAATAACAATCTTCACACTTTTTGCCTCATAAATATGAAAAAAATGGTCATTTGTGTAGGGTTCTTTTTTAACTTTTCATAATTAGCAGTGATATTTTCTTTGTCGCTCATAACAAAAGTGCCAGACTTATGTCTACATGTGCAAACATGGCTGATGGGGTTAAATTCAAGACTTGGGCAAAACAAACTGAAGACAAGAGAAAAATATTTCATTGTACAATATCAAAAACACCTAACACAGTGTCAAAGACCACAGTAGTCATTTAATAAATACTTAGTTACTTTCCTTTGAATTATGAAGTCTTTAAAAAATTTTCAAGGTACTGTGGCCACCCAAGATGTGCATAAAAAAGAATTTGTGGAAGTTCTAATATCGTTGGATAAACTGTCTCTCCAATCACTGTGATTCTTCAAGGCTGTGGAAAGGCAGATAAACCTCTTGAAGGCTATGAAAAAGTGTTTAAGTAGAGATTCTCCCAAACCAAAAGGCTACAACAAACTTTCCTAGGTGCCAGAAAGACTTTACCCAGCACACTGGAAAACCAGACCTAATATGCAGTCCTACCAACCTAACAGCCATATATTACCAACTCTTCAGAGAGTAAGGTTAGTCCTTTAATGTTTTTAAATTTCATGTCTTTGAAATAGTCTCCAAAGAAATTAATTCATGCCATCAAAAGAGAAAACTGCCTGCAGCTTTAATTAATCTGTATCCCAAATCTGGAGTCTAATACAAAACAAAATTAAAACAGTATTTTTATAATCAAAGCCAAATAAAAAGGTTTTCTAAAATTAAGTTGTTAATTGCTCCACTCAAAATGTCAATGTATTCCTATTTTGGTAATGAAGGTAGGTATGGATATAGGAGGGAATAAAGTAAAAATGAATTCTGATGTTTCAATTTATTCCTAAATTTTGGTTTCATTTTTTAATGCTAATATACAGCCAAGTATCCAAATCTATTGAATTCCATTTGAACTGCTTTATCCAAAACCTGGATATTATTATTTGTCACAAGCATATTAAAAAAAAAGAATAGAGTTGAGGTGCTAAGAACAAGAACATAACTTAAAAACCTGGTGGGTATGATTTCTGAATCACTTAAATTAGTAGCTACTTTCCTGCAATGGAGTATAGTTATAAATTTTGTATCTGTAAAACTAGTAAACACTTATGAGCTATAACACACCACTTTCATTTATCATAAAACATTTTTAAAGATGTAAGTCAATACAGAAACTAAAATGTTTAATTATATTAACTGAAATTAGGAGTTAACAAAAATTATTTCTAAGGAGGTATTCTAATTTTTAATGCTAACATTCAATAAAACTATGGCTACTCTATATGAACCATAATGTCTTTTACTTACACAATGGAAGAATAAATACAATTAACAATGAGAATACAAAAGATCAATTACCAAACTGGCTGGCCCAATTTAACAAAGGAAATTTTACTTTATCAGAAGCTTATCTTCTGGATAATTTTTAAGGAGAGAGAAATATTTCAACTTGATAATGCATAAAAACACCCTTAAACTCTTTGAGTTTGCCTCATGGCACATCTCTTGAAGAGATGCCCTACCCACAGTAAGTGATGTTTGACACATTTTTTGCTACTTAACTAATACAGTAATTCTATCCTTCACTGAGATATAATATGACACGGAAGAATCACTAGCAAAGTTCACAGTTGAACTCTGAAAGTGACACTTGTTTTCAATTTTTTGACTTGACCTTGTAATATGATTCCTATCAGACTAGACTCAGTTTTGGTCTCTGAGTAAAAAAATATAACTGTAACATTTTCTTAAACAATCAGTAATCCTTTCGATTTCTATTTTTAAATATAAACAGTGACATTAAGAAATCTTTTTTTCTTTGTGCTAACTTTGATAATGCTTTGCCAAACTATGTGCCTTACTCTTCTGTAAATTTTTCCTACAACTTAAATATCTAAAGAGTCATTCATAATTATAGATAACACACATCACTTCCTTTCTGGAAATCTTTCCAAAGCTCCCATAAGTGCCAAGGAAATTTAGTCTTCTTCAAGCCATTCACAATTCTCCTTGTACATTGTCTTTATTTATAGTCCAATATCCTCTCTGCTCTATGGATGCCAATTTGTAACAAAATTTCTGTATTTTCTATGGCAAGCTTACTGATAATCCCCTCCAATATCTGTTCTAGATACCTTTATTCCACAATCCCAGTGAAGGATGTGTGTTTGTGTCTGTTATATTTTTTTAACCTATCTAAACACTATCTTTTTACAGCAGTTTTAAATTAACAGCAAAATTGAGAGGAAGGTACAGCAATTTCCCATATACTCCCTGCCCCATACCTGTCTAGCCTCCCCGTTATCAACACCCTCCACTACAGTAGTATATTCCTTACAACTTAAGGACCTACACTAACACATCATTAACACCCAAATATCCAGTTTACATTAGGTACACTCTTGGTGTTGTATGAGTTTGCACAAATGTATAATGATGTTGTCCTTAACTGTAGTATCATACAGAGTAGTTTCACTGCCCTAAAACGTCTCTGTACTTCACCTATTCATCCTTCCTTAACACTTGATCTTTTTGCTGATTCCAGTTTTCTCTTTTCCAGAATATCACATCATTGAAATTTATAAAATAAAGCCTTTTGATATTGACTCCTTTTATTCAGTAGTATCCATTTAAATTTTCTGTCTCTTCGTGATTTGATGTCTTTTAGTTGAATAGTTTTCCATTGCTTGTAGGAACCACAGTCTACTTATCCATTTACCTACTGAAAGATATCTCAGTTGCTTCCAAGTTGTGAAATTATGAGTAACTTTGACATTAACATCCATATATCAGGGTTTTGTATGGATATAAGTTTTCTGAAGAGTTTTTTCAAAAATTTTTTCAGGTTCACCTTTTTCCAGGACACCTCTTCCAAAGAAAGGAAGCCTTTTTATAAAGTCAACTCACCATATTTTATTTCTAGCTTCACAGCAATAGCTAGCCTTCTTACATAATAATTTAGTTACTGGATAACTCTCTTATCTCTTTTACATAATAACCCCTTTAAGAACTACAGTCATTTTTACCTTGTCATCTTCAGTTTCCTGTTTGGGCAACAGGAAAACATTCAATGAGTTCATTCCACTGAACTTAAAACACCAGAGTTTCACAAATGACTACAGTAAAATAAAAACAATTGAGATATTTGAATATGATATAGTCCAGCCTCAAGTTCTGTTTGGTTGATTTTTTTAATAACTTGTCTATTTATACACACAGCCCAGGTTTTGGTACAAATACAATTTAATTCCTGAAGTGAAAAGGAAGGCAATAGGATTTCAGTAAAGTGAATCTATTTGGTAGGCAAAATTTAATCTTAGAAGCTTCTTGGTATTATGTTAAAAATGGAAAAAAATATTGCCTGACCAGCAGTCCTTTTCTTAAGGGATATTATGAAAAGAAAAGTAGTCTCTAGAGGCCACCTGTGACATTTGGAACCAAAAGCCTGGCATACATCATGAAGAAAGCATAGGTTATATTTGGTGACATGACTCAACCTTGCCAAATATAGGCAACTGATACAGTGTAACTCTAGGGAACTACACTACCACATTCTATAGCTTAGAAAAGATCCATGCAACAACTAGAAAATTTTATGCTAGGCATCTGTGAGTCAGAGAGAACCAATATTTACCAATTAGACTAACAGAATAGGATGGTACTGTGGTGATCTGGACAATATATAGCAAGGCTCAAAATGTATAATAAAGTCACTGGTTGCAAATACCAACTTTCTACTTACACAAATGCAGAACCTATATCAATATAAACTAATAAAATTTCAATGTGCTCTGTAACTTAATGATTAAAGATAATTTACACTATTTACCTAAAAGTAAGTCTCCAAATCAAAACTGGTAACCTTATTCTACTCCCTGACCTATCCATACTGCAACTTCCCATAAGACATTTTATACAAAATCACGTAGCAGGTACTGGCTAGGACTAGTATCAAGTGGAGAACCTTGCTCCTTCTCAAAAAGCCATTTAAAATTCATTAAATACACACAGAGTTTAGGCTAAACAAAAACCTTCTCTGGGACGAATCTAGCTTTTAGTTTCAAAGCCAATTTCTAAAATCTCTTTCCTGTCTCACACACTGCCATTTGCCTTCTCACATGCACTCCAGCCATTCAGAACAACTGGCTTATCACTTCTACTTCTGGGTTACTTTCTCTGTGAAACATCTCCTTCTGTCTGCCCCTCACTGTCTTTCCACTCTCCTGCCCAGGCAGTTGTTGCTTTAGGCCTTATATACTATGCAAAATCTTCCTTGCCCCAAGGCAAGGGATTCACATAATTCCAAATGTTCCATATAGCACCCTTGATACTTATTACATTGGATAAGTTACTACCCCTTTGTGTGTGTGTATGTGTGCGTGTGTGTGTGTGTGTGTGTGTGTTACTAAGAATTGAACACAGGTTCTTCACACTCAGCTACAATCCCAGCTACAATCCTAATATATAATTTATTGAATTTATATATATATAGAATTTATTGGTACTTTTTAAATATACAGTACAGTTACATTCATCATTTGGATCTTGTACCCTTACATGACAGATTTTGGTTCTCATTTTTTCCCCATACCCTTGCCCTCCCTTCACCCCCTCTACCCTTCCCTAT